GGACACAGAAACCATAACTGAAACACTGTTTGAAGATCAATGTACACAATGTTCAAAACATTAATCGTGTCACCTGGACAGACACACGTACACGATACAGGTAATGTCACAGGGGTACAGGAAATGTCAGTATCGGTTGTGCCCACCACGTGCATCAATCACCGCTTGACACCGACGACCCATAGATGCAATCAAGTTGTCAATAACACGCTGTTGGATGTGCTGCCATTCATGCTGAAGTGCATCAAGAAGCGCCGGAAGTGTTTGGGACGGTGGATTCCTTCTGCGAACGGGTCGATCCAACTCGTCCCACAGATGCTCAATCGGGGACAAATCTGGTGACAGGGCTGGTCAAGGTAATGTCTGGATGTTGGTGTGCTGTAAGAAGTCCTGACAAACACGTGCAATATTCGGTCGAGCGTTGTCCTGCTGGAACTGTCCGCCATGAACGTTGACGTGAGGGAGAACGTAAGGCTGTAGGATCAAGTCTCTGTAACGCACCCCTGTCAAAATGTGTGCAAACTTTAGTCCAGAAAGCTAATAAAGCTCTTATTCCCATTAAGCAATTACTTAACTTAATTTTGTAAATATTTACTTGGTGTCGGGAAATCTTGTACAAATATTGCTATTGTGGGTGAATGTGGACGCTATAAATTGTATTGTGAGACTTATGTACATTGTTTGAAATATTGGTGTAAACTAACCACTATGTCAAATGAAAGATATCCTAGACAATGTTATAATATGATTTATAGATTAGATCAAGTAGGAAGAGTTACATGGGCTACAAACATTAAGAATATTTTGTATTTATATGGTTTTGGTTTTGTATGGGAAAATCAATATGTTGGTCACACTGATTAATTTATATGTGAGTTTTCACAAAGAGTTAAAGATTATTATATACAATCATGGCATTCACAAGTTAATGATTACAAACATCTAGAATTTTATTCGTTACTCAAAACAGCATTTATTATTGAACCGTATATTTTGAAAATCACTTGTAAAGACCTAAGAAGAATGTTATCACTATTAACAATTCGAGAATTAAATATCATGGTGAATATTTGAAGAAAAAGTAATATTGATTTTAATTTTAGATTTTGTCCTTTTTGTAAGAACATCATTGAAATTGAATTATATTTTATGCTATCATGTCCATTATATGATGATATCAGACAGAAACACATTCCAAATATATATTGTCAATCTCATATACACTCTTTCAAAAAAAACACGCAAGCCCTATATTTTCAAGATGTTTATCTCAATATTCAAGTCATTATTACACATTTAATATTGAAGACAACAATATGAAATTTGGCATGGTGGCAGTACAGTTATGCAAGTTTAAGTCCAGACTTCGACAGTTCTCTCACTAAGATTGACTTGACGCAAGGGGGCGTCTTTCTCAGTACCTCGTATGAGCGCCACGAGCTGCGATCACAGCATTACACCTCCTAGGAACAGAACGGATTAGACGGCGGATTCTTTCCTGAGGGATTGCTCTCCACTCCTCCTGCAGTGCAACGGCTAGTGCATCCAACGTCTGCGGCGGCGGTGTACGTGCACGTACTCGTCGGTCCAGATTATCGCAAAGATGTTCGATTGGGTTGATGTCTGGTGATCGGGAGGGCCATGGTAACACGTTGATGTTAAAATTCTGAGGAAAATCACTGTTGCATGAGCTGTGTGATGCCGGGCATTGTTGTGTTGATAGAGCTCCCTCTGTTGGTCGATAATCGGCAGAAGAAGAGGCTGTAAGGCATCATTGATTTAGCGCTGGGCTGTCAAATTGCCACGAATGATCACCAAGTCTGATCTTTGGTTGTAAGACATGGCTCACACCATGACGCTCCCTCCTTCAAATCATTCGACCTGCCGAACACAGTTCGGGGCAAAACGTTCGTTTCCTCTTCTATGGACACGCTGTCTTCCGTCACGGCGTTGTAAGAGAAAACGTAATTCGTCACCAAACCAGACGCGCCTCCAGTTTCTGAGGGTCGATATCCGAACGTTGGTGGACCACTTGAGTCGTTGGCGCCGATGTTCGTGGCGTAAAACAGGTCCAATAAGTGGTCTTCTTGCACGTAGACCGGCGGTTCCTAATTGTTTGTGCGGACACTCTTCTCAAACCTGGCACCTGTGTTGTAGTGACGGTAGGTGGGGGTAGCCGATTACGTAGGTTGGTGATCCGGATGAATCGATCCTGAGGTGGTGTGGTGTAACCCTTGGCCTACCACTTCTGGGGCGATCTTCAGTTGCATGAAACTGGGTGTATCGGCTCCAAGTCGGGAAATCGTTGTTTTATGAACATTGAGGTGGCGGGCAACGTTTCCAAAGCTTTGTCCGGCCTCAATATGACTAAAGGCGATATTTCGATCTGCAGCACTCAACCGTGGCATATTCGACCTCGTCTTTCGGTGAAAATGATAGTGAATCGCTAATCAACACGTGCTTTTATAAACCCATACTTCTACTGCTCTTTCCATGAATTGCACGTGCATGAGGCTTTTGGCATGGGCCACGTGAAAATTTTGCTCACTATGATAAAAGTAACAATAAAATGTCCTTGTGCTTGTGTTTGGGCGCTTAATAAACAATGTACATGGTATAAGTGCATATCCGAAAAATTGTATTTACAATCAATATTTTTCTTCATGGGGTTTTATCACATTTTCAGACTGGTTGCGTTTCATTTTTGAGAGAGTGTATTTAAGCATATAAGCTCAGGCAAACTAACTGATTTACTTCAATGCTGTATATATAAAAGAGGCTTTTGTATTATGTTCATCTCATTTTTAATACTTGTTTAATGTTGCACCAATATCTCTGTTCCATATGTCAATATTTATTTGTACATGGGCCTGTGACCTTTAACCTGAATAAAGAAATTGAATTGAGAGAAACAAAGAAGGGAACACATGAAAATACATGTGCTCCTTTATTGTTTTCCAGGTTTTGTTCCCAAGCTATGGATGTCACTGTGGGTAAAAAAATGGGAATAAATAAAGTGACACTGCAATGAAATGGTGTTCCCTTATTTGTTTCCCTCAGTATATTATATCACCTTACCGTCTTCTGTTTTCTCCTCCCTGGTAAATGGTGAAGCCAGAGGTAGACCCTCAATCAGCTCATGTAGGCATAGTGAGTGAGTGAGTTAAGATTTAACGTCACATCGGCAGTATTTCAGCCATATCGTGACGAGCATGTAGGCATGATAGGTAACTCAAAAGCCGATGCTGCAGCTACAGCAGCTCTTGACAAACCGTTTTCTCCACTGCCTATCCCGTTCAGTGATTTCAAGCCAACCATCAAGAGTTATACTCGGGATCTCATGCAAGAGAGGTTGGACACCCAGGTAGGAAGCAATACACTTAACGAATTGAAACCAACAATTGGTCATGCCTGCATGGGTTGGCAGTCAAAACATGACGAGGTCGTTTTACGACGATGTCGATGTCATAATGGCCACAGTCGGTTTACATACGAATATCTGCTTAAGACAGATGAGGACGAACCTCCTTAGTGTATCCCTTGTGATGAAAGGTTCACCGTCAAGCATATATTGCTTGACTGTGTGGAATTTGCAATCGCAAGGGATCACATTATCAAAGCGTACATCTGAAAGATCTCTTTTCCCGTGTTAGCGGGCATCTCATCATAATTAACTTGAAAGAAATTGGTCTGTATAATAAATTTTAAATATGTATGTGAATAATTAAATGCTTGTTTGTAAATTTGGTGTGATGCTTTGATCAACTGACATTACTGAAGGCTGTGTTCAGGGGGTTAAAGTATCGTAAAGTTGTTGCCCCCCTGTGTGACATGTAGTCCTATGATAATCGATGTATCTATCATCAACCAGTGTTTTTAAGCCAACTCATTGCTGAATATTTTTATATTTTTTTAGTATTGTGCACAACTACCAGTAACTAAAGTGATGACATAAATCCTGCTGGGGTATCATGCAGGAAGCCAAGGTACAGTAAGTCCCCATGATCCCCAGTGAGGTTGCCTAGCTTTGGTTACTGATGGCCTATAGCCCATGTTTTAAAACTGTATATATAATATTGCTATGCTCAAATATGTTTCATAAATTCTTTCTATATATAGTATGCTCAAATATGTTTCATAAATTGTTTTTAAATATATTTTTGCATAAATAACTCAATTGTGATCATATTAACTTGGTCTCGTCGCTATATGGCTGAAATAGTGTCGATGCGACATTAAATTTTAACTCACTCACTCACTCCAGTGCTACAAGAATCAGCTTTGATGGATTGTGGAATCTTCGAACGTTTGAAAGGGAAGCGGTATGTGTTGGACTTTCCATCCACACCATCCTTTTTTGACAGTAAATCGTTTGAAAGCTCTGACAACCAGCACGAGTTATGTGTTCAGAGAAAGCAACCTTGATATTGACAAACTCTTTCAATTTGAGGAGATTGATGGATCGCTGCCTCTTTGCATGCGAAGAGAATCGAAGCTTGGCGACAATTGTAACCTCTCCGCATATACCAGCGATACCTTTGGAGATTGCAAATGGATAAAGTTTGATGGGTTCTTTGTCTCAAGCTTCAATAGTAATAAAACGATCGGATTGGTTGAGGGGTATTTTCGCCAGATGAATTGTCAGACTCTACATATCTTCCTTTTGAACCAGGATGTTGGGATGACATGTTGAAAGGGAAACGATTCAGACCCCCTTTTCTCCTTCAACCCTAGGGTGTCAACACGGACAGTCTAAAACAGCAGCGGATATCCAAGCTGCAAGGACCGAGGATAAAGGGGTGGTACACTCCAGCTGATATTATGTTCCTTTTTGCAGGATTACAGATTATGTAGGTATTTTACGTAACACCAAAGCTGATATTGCATCCACATGTGGATGCTAAATACCTATACGATCTCAGGCAAACAGTTTCACTGAATGTTTTTGACACAGTACAGAACATATATAATCAGCCTACATGAAATTGTTAATTTTACAGATGCGCATTTCCATCCTGACAATGATTCCCGAGACTAGCATCCTCTTACTAGCCATCACAATTTCGGTTGTCCTCGCTGAAAGGAGACGTGTGCCGTTCGTGAACTGTCCATCAGCGAAGGCTAACTCGAACCTGATGACCACAACGCCGGCCCGAAGCAGGATCGAGTGCTCTGTGACCTGTCTGAATGAGCAGAACTGTTTATCAGCTTCCTACTGCAAGACAAGCGATGGCTACACATGTCAGCTGAGTGGGATTTACACTGGTGGGGGCTGTTCTGGCCTTGGTTCGGATGGAGAATGTACCCTTACTGCAGTTGTGAGTTCTTGCTCGTTAATGAAACGGGTCAAACTAAGATTCGGGCGATAGATCGTCACTATAGCAGCAACTCAGCCAACCTTATCATCTGTTAATAAGGTTACTTCAGAGTAAATCTTTGAATGTGGGCAGCCTTTGGTTAATCCGCTTTCATCCCCTTTATGGTAACATATACACAATGACAAAAGTTAAGCACACCCCTATTTCTGAACCATGACAAATGGCAAAAATCATAGCATGGGACGACTGACCACAGGAGTTGGGCGATACCAACGTCATAAGATAGAACTAACATTTTGACAGCAAATAAAGAAGGATTAAGTAAACGAGTTACGTTTGATGTTTCATGTGAAAATGTTCCTTAAAGTATCTACTTGACATGACACGTCAAACAGATCAGAAGCGGGTATAACTGACGCATTCGACCCAACGTCTCATGGCTCCAGTCAGACGTTGGATCTGTTGGTGAGTCAACAACAACCACTCCTGATCCAATGCTGCTTCCGATTGGCGTAAATCTTGTACAGAAGGATCTCGTGTCTGTATGTGCCGCCCAAGAATATCCCAAACATGTTCAAGGGGGTTTACGCCTGGGCTCATTGCTGGCCAGTGTAGAGTCGTCATTGCATTGGCCCTCATGTAATGCACTACATGTGAACGATGAGGCCTGGCATTGTCATCCATGTATTTAGGTCGAGTAGCAAGAGGGTGGTTGTCAAAATGATGAACGACGACTGGCTTCAAAACGCCCTGAAGCCCCTGTTCAGTTTCCCCTTACGGTGACCAAATCCAACCTGCAATCATGAGAGATACACCCCCAAACCATTACCGAGCCCCCGCTGTATGCAACAGTCGGTTCAATGATCGGGGAGTGTAGGCCGTGTTCCGGTGATTTTCGTCTCACCAATGGATCCGTCTCCAAGCTGTTTCAGAGGAGTACTTGTTAAAGAGGATTCTTGGCGTTTGAGACGAAGAAGGTCCCTGTCTTCGCGATGTGTTGTCACAGGAGGTCTTCTGTATCCCGGACTGTCCTGTACATCACTGGTCTGAGCATGTTTCTCGACTAAATGGCTTACGACAGTGTGATGATACCCAAAATTCCGACCAATGGCATTACAAGACATTCCTGCGTTACGCATGCCAATTATTTGCCATCTTGTGGGTTTGATAATCGCCTTCGTGCCATGGTCACACAATGTCATGGAATAACTGTTTAAAACCGAGCTTAAGAAAGCAATTTTAACGTCTGGATATACTGATTTTAGAGATACTCAGGGTAGCATGCTGCACGGGCATACCGTGCATGGCACGTGAGCTTTCGTCACTCATGACTGATTACATTATCTCAAGAAAACATAATTCTTCCCATAATTATATCTTTCATAACTGTTATAAATAATTGAACCAAACAATAATAAAATATATTAGGGCGTGACTAACTTTTTTCTTTGTGTATAGTATGAAGCCCTTTTTTGGGTGTTCGATTCATACCGTTTGTGTATTTGTTTCACGCCGCATTCAGCAACGACGAAGATTCATACCGATGCTAACTCAACCGGATAACTTTATCATTCACAGGAGTTTCCATGTGACAATGGCGGAACATTCATCCCTGAGAACAGAACTTGTCATTGTGTTCAAGGTTTTATTGGGAGCTACTGTCAAAGGCGCTATCGAGGTTGGTACTTAACAAATAATCCACTACGTAGTTTTGACTGAGAGTATAGTGAGCTGATTGTACGACCAGAGTTGGTATCATCTAAAACCATATGAAGCTCATATAAGTTTGGTCTACGTGCATATGTGTCTTTTTATTATAATCGGACATATTTAGCTGTGTAAAACCTTCTCAGTGATATTTTGGTAATATATGGAGACTAGAACAAGTTAATATATGTACAGTGGCGTCATAAATACAAAGTTACATATGAAAACAAATTTGGTAGACAAATTGTAGCATAAGAAAGTTTACCACTGTTTAAAACTCGGGCTATTAGCCACTTGCAACCAATAACGGGCCATCTCACTTGGGATCACGGGGGCGGAGCCTCTGTTTTGTTTTGTTAGTTTGTTGTTTAACGCTGCACTCAGCATTCTTCAAACTATATTACGGCGGTCTGTAAATAATCGAGTCTGGACCAGACAATCCATGAGCATCCGTTCACGCAATTTTGGATACGATGACGTGCATCAACCAAGTCAGCAAGTCTGACCACCCGATCCCGTTAGTCGCCTCCTACGACAATCATAGTCTATGGCAAGCATGGGTTGCTAAGGACCTATTCTACCCCAGTGCTTCACGGGTCTGGTGCCTCTGCACGATATACCAGCAGGGTTTACGTCGCCTCTGCTTCCTGCACGATATACTAACAGGGTCTCTGTCGCTTTAGCTGCTGGTGGTTGAACACAATACTAACCAATATTAAAAAATGCTTATAAATGGGTTGGCTTAAAACACTGGTTGATCTATGTTCCTCACAAAACGTTAAGCAACTAGTATCATATTCCGTGCAACATTCTCATCAGTGTTTCCCGACATGGGTACAATGTGTGAAGCCCATTTCTGGTGACCCCGCCTTGATATTGCTGGAATATTGCTAAAAGGGGCGTAAAACCATATTCACTCACTCACTCTCATCAGTGTTGAATGCCATCCAATGAGAACAAATTCAGGCAGGAGAAGTACCTACGACTACTCGACTTAAAGCCTTTTCCATGTAGATTTTTCTGATAACACTGATAACATCGCCTGAACACAACCACCCTCAAAACACACATGCAAAATGCACGATATGCATGTTTTACACACTTCACCCATGCACCCTGATTGCTTAAAAACTGCCAGCAAGGGCAATTTTCGACATTAACACTTTAGACATGGCAAGGCGTCACTTAACGCCAACTGAGGTTGCTCTGATTGTTGGAATGGTACAGGGGAGTCTCACCCAAACTGCTGTTGCCAATCATTTTAATGTTCACCACGTGTCATCCCAAGAGCGATAACTCGATACCATCAAACTGGACTGATGACAGAGAGACCATGCACAGGTCGTCCAAGGGTGACAACTCCTCGTGAGGACAGGTATTTAGCCACCCTAGCCCGGAGAAACAGGTTTATTAGGGCCAGATCTCTCCAGAATGACCTTCAGAGAGTCTCAACACAGACAGTAAGAAACATACTTCACGCTCAGGATATGAGGTCCCGATGACCAGTACGACGTATCCCACTGCCTGCACACAGTCGACAACAGAGACTTGCTTGGGCAAATCAACGCCGTAACTGGAGGGTGAATCGCTGGCGTAACGTTACCTTCACAGACGAGTCAAGATTCTGCCTTGACTTCAACGATGGTAGGGCACGTGTGTGGAGAAACCGTAATGAACGATACGCCAACTGTACAATTGCTGAACACGACCAGTACGGAGGTGGAAGTTTGTTGATCTCAGCTGGCATCAGGGTTGGACACAGAAATGATCTTGTGGTCATCAGACATGGTACCATGACTGGAGTATGGTACAGGGACGAGATTGTCACACCTGTGATCATTCCGCTGGCACAACAAGCAGGTCCTAACTTCATCTTTATGGATGATAATGCTCGTCCACATCGAGCAAGAGTTGTCACTGATCTTCTTCAGACCAGCAACATCACGCATATGGACTGGCCTACAAGGTCTCCGGATCTTAATCCTATTGAACATGCATGGGACATTCTTGGAAGGCGTGTTTATGGTCTTCATGTTCGTCCTCAGAATCTGGATCAACTTGAACAGGCCTTAAGGAGAGAATGGCAGAACATTCCACAACAGACACTTGATAGGCTTATCTGGTCAATGCCAAGACGCGTAGAAGCTTGCATTCAAGCCAATGGTGGACATACACGTTACTGAACATTGGATCATTGTTTCAAAATGACTTAAACTCAAATTTAAAGATTTTCATCTTTCAGTGCAGCACATTTTCCACGACTGTTTTCATGATACTGTTACTGCTTTTCAGTTCCCTTTGAGGACAATGTGTGTTTGTGCTCTTTCTTTGTATTGCTTTAGTCAGTTTTTAGGTATTGGAATATATGAACATGGACTGACACATAATAGATTTGTTGCTTAACTTTTTGTGAGGAGTATAGTTACATCGGGAATGGGAATTCCACCGTCCGGGACCTGGGGTAGAATAGAATGTGTCATCAGCACCCCATTGCTGGTCGTAAGAATGAATGAATAAATATTGCTTCACGCCGCATCAGCAATGTGACAGCTATTCACGGCGAGAATCAGTCAACAAAAAATCCGTCAGGTGCATATAAAAAAATATGTAAGGAAAACAGATATAAAAGGATCGATCAAATATCACAGAAAACGAGTAAAACTGACATTGAAGGGAAACAATGCATAAAATGTGAATGCCCCATTCGGCACTGACATCATCTCTACGATAGGAAAAACTGACATTATCATGATTGATCATTGGCCGAATATTATGCAGCTTGTTATTTGTTTCTTTGATCCCAATTTAATTGCTAACACTGATTTACAAATTGAGGAATCTTAGTACTGTTCGTTTGTTTCTTTGTTGTTTATTGCACTCAGCAATATTCCAGCGATTTGACGGCGGTCTGTACATAATCGAGTCTGGACCAGACAATCCAGTGATTGACATCATGAGCATCGATCCACGCAATTGGGATCGATGACATGCATCAACCAAGCGAGCCTGACCACCCAATCCCATCTTAGTATTTCTCAAGAGCAGCTCTTTTACCTTTTGCAGCACAGTTACCTTTTATACCGAGATGGCTTGGAATCGAAAAAATAAGTATTATCAGCCACTGATAAACTAAGTTGTCGACCCAATATATCGACCAACATGGGATGATATTTTTTCGATCGTCTATCGCCTGCAAGCAGGATAAACTGTCCAAAAAATGAGAAAATGTCTAATATGAGAATTATAGATATATTGCAAGGTTAAGACAATAGCCTTTTCTTCTGCAACACCCTGGTTCAAAACGTAGATATATTGAGTCTGACAATTCACCTGACGAAAATACCACCACCCTTTCTGACTATTGGCCACGTTTTTTAATTATCGAAGCTTGTAACAAAGAACGCATTATACTAAATCCGTTTATAATCTCTATCACTGGTATCTGCAGAGAGGTTACAAATGTCACCATGCTTCGATCCGCTTCTCTCCTTGTGGAATGTGCACGAGACAGCAATCCATCATTCTACTCCAATTGAAAGAGTTTTTCAATATCAAAGTTGCTATCTATGAACAAAGGACACTAACCTCATGCAAGGTGATTTTCTGCGACAGGGCTCACTGCCTGTCCGGCACGAACGAGGATGAAATCGTCAAAGAACTTGCCCAACAGTCTGTCACAACTGTTTAACGATTTACGGCAAAAAGGAATGGTGTGGTTGTACAGACCAACACCTATCTCTTTGAGGTGAACATCCCCAATCTACTCCGGTGCTACACCTGCCAAGCGTTTGGACATGGATCCAAGTCCTGCCATGCCTCTGCTGTTTGTTACTGCTGCGGCGACAAGCATGAGGCCACTGACTGCAGGAAGGATGTTAAGTGTGCAAACTGCGGTGGGAACAATATGGCTTCTGCGAAATCCTGCACTGTTTGGAAATGAGAGTCCCATAATTACACTCAAAATCAAACACAATCTCTCCAGCATTGAAGTAAAACAGAGGGTTGTAGGTACAATTGCAACTTCTAACATGTTATACTCTGCTGTGGGGGCACGGGTGGCCCAGTCGTCTAAGGCACCGCGATTCGCTGTGCAGAGTTGCGTCCCTTTGGCACGCCAGAAACCTATGATTGTGGGTTTGAATCCCGGTTCGCCCCAATTGTTTCTAGGTTGGCCATACCCGTGCTAGTGGGATTCACCGAAGTGCTTAATGTCTGAGACCTGCATCAATTCAGGCTTTCCTCCCACATCAAGTAGACACTCCATGATATAACTGGAATACCGTTTAAAGTGATGTTAAACCCAACTCCCTCACTCACTCACTTACTTACTGTTGTCTCTCGTCATCTTGTCACCACTGCCTCTATCGACTGCCAGACTGATCTGACAAGGGTCAAGTCTGTTCAGCCACTGCCTTTAGCTTCCTTATAAAAAATAGCTGTGACTCAAACCAAAACTGTCAAAAATGGTGAGTCTCAAACTCCAAAACCAGTTACTAAGTCTGAAACAGAACCAATTAAACTTTCAAACAGGGAAAAAAGATAATTGAAAGAGAAGCAGCAACCAAGAGAGCTGCAAACACAAAAGGCCACCACCCCTCCTTTTGAGGTCCCAGTAGAGGTCCATAACTCCTTTTGTCCTCTGGACATGGAGGTAAATCCATCTCCAAATGAGGGAGTGAGTTAAAATTTAACGTCGCATCGGCATTATTTCAGGCTTATAGCGACGAGACCAAGTTAATATATTAAAAATTTACTTATTTATGGAAAGTTTTATTAAAAAACGTTATGAAACATATTTGAACATAACAATATCATTAAAGTCATTAAAGTCAGCAGATAATAGAATCACACCAAATTTAAAAACAAGCATGCATTTATTCATTTACATATTTAATATTTATCATACAGACCATTTCTTTTAAATAGCTTATAATAAGATGCCCGATGACACAGGGAAAGAGATCTTTCAGA